CGTGTGTTGTCTTTCATGAGGTCTTTTGAACCAATTTTAGTCTGGCCCCTTGCCTGAGACCAATTTGCCATGGGAGACCCTACCAGGAACACAAGGTTCCAGACAACACAGCCCCCAGGTTCATCAGAGCACACAAACCTCTCTACCACGGTAAGGTGCTGGCTCTTCAGAGAGGGAAAAAGAAAAAGAAAAAGAAAAGAAATTGCACAATTTAAATCTATTCTAGTAGACCACAACAATGGAATTATGATCAGTAGAAATGGCCATGACATGGGACCTTTAAGGAATACTTGCAGAAGGATCTCAAAGTACAAATGTCCACATAAAAGCTTTGCAATTCTCTCATTCTTTAGACACAATCTATTTGCTGACTTCGCAAGTATTGAGTCTCTCATAGTGTTGTACAACAATTACATCTTTAACTTTGTCAGGGTTGAGTGAAGCAGGCAGGACCCAAATGCAGATTGCAAAGAAAAATACCTTTATTCCAAGGCCAAAAAACGTCAAAAACAGAACACTACCCCGTGACACAGTCAAAGACACACAATGAACCAACAATGACAGACAGCAAAAACAGAACTTAAATACACACAAGAATAATCAACGAAACAAGAGACAGGTGAGGAGGGAGGAGAAAACACAGGGGGGACAAGGTGAACACAATCGGGTAATCAGACAGGAGGGAACAAAGACAGAAAGCAACAGGCAAGACAGGGGGTGAACACTGACCAACGTTCAAGAATATGGAGCAATACCATCTCACTTTACCTTCATTCCCTCTTATCTTACAATTAGAACATAACATACAAATGAACCTATCAAAAAATGTAAAAGCATGGTTACAATGATAACAACAAAAGAAAAGCACATATAGAACATAATGCAACAGAAAAATGGTGTGCAAAGAAAGGGAAAGCCAACAAAAGACATTGAATAGGGCTTTATATAGAAATATGTTTCAAAAGGTAAAGTGCCCTCTGCAGTACAGTACAATACCACCTGATTGGGCCTTTAGTGCATCGGTCCCAGCATAACAAATCGGAAATGAAACACTGTTAATGGCATATATTAAATTACCTGATGCTATCACACATATTTGTGGCTATAAATGTACATTGATCGACACTTGAATCAGTCTATCGATTATAGTTTCGCCACATTAGGGGTAGGGGGTGGTTTAAAAGGGTCCGATTCTTAGCATGCAATATTCTGGTGGCTATAATAAACACACAAAGTACTTAATTTACATAAGACGTGCGTGTTCTAAATAAAAAAAAATGTGTGGGGGTACAACCTGATCAGTCAGTAAGAGGCTGATGAAGGTGAGGAAATGCAGCCTGCAGGGGGGGGGAGACTGCACGCTGATATATGCTGTGGCATGCATTGTCCTCCGGTTGAGTTCAGGATGACTTTTTCATGTGGAACACTGCAGCATCCCTAATGATTCAAACCACAGAAGTGCTTAGATCATCACAAGTGTGCTTTTACACAACACACTCATCCAAAGTTTGCACCAGCTAATAAAAACACCCACTATGCCCACAGACGCCATGAGTCGACACAGTACCGACACACAGGTGTGAAAATGATCCTTTTTTTAGCTGTGCTGGCTTAGAATGTGAATTTAAAGAGGGCATATTAGGCTTTTTTGGAGTTTTCTGTTCCATGTAGTTTATTATATAGGCTAAACCAATCAGACAAAGGGTGAAAAGAGGTGCTGCAGAGAAAAATAAAGACCTTTTTGAACATTAAAGCATGGAAACATGTCACAGTAGAGGCAATATATATAAATATGGATCTGAAAATGGGTCCTCTTCACACTTCACAGCAGAAATCTAAATAACTTCTACTGCTTAAATATGTTAATTCAGTTTCCCGTAAGTCTCTCTTATGGCAGACAGAGGAGATTGAATGTGCAGTTGCATCTGTCATTATTTTCTCACAACTGATAAAGAAAGATTTTTGGGATGAAGATAACTTCTTAACTTTTCCAATAAATTAGGGAATTCATGAGGGTTATTAAGGCTGAGATACACTGAGATACACTGACTGTTGATTCAGCTAATTTCAGGTGGAGCAAGTCCAGAGAGTCTTCTCTTAATCAATACAGTTTCTTTTAATTCTGGGAAACAGCTTTGCTTGCTTGTAGATCCCAGAGGTCGGAGCCTATGTAAATTATGTTTCAGTGTGGACTCTCAGGTTAAAGGTTCCTCCTTGTAGACTTTGTGTTTAAGCCTTATTTATTCTGGAAAACTCCCTGAGATCAACATAAGAGACCTCAAAACAAATGACACGCACCCACAATCAAAATCCCAGCTTATTACAAGTACAATTGTTATTTAGAACAATTAATAGTATGAAAATAACAGCAGGTATAATTAAATAAGCATTAGGAGCAATTAGCATCTAATTTCAAGACAGTTTGCTTTTTAGCTGTGCAATGTGATTTGTTCTCTATGAAAAGGAGAGCAACCTTCGCTCTGTTCCAATAATGTTTATGAACAAGATGTGATACATTACTACGATATCTTTTATATGGCTGTATTAAATCAATTAAAACATCAATGATAGCATAGAAAGGAGTCAAATTGTGTATTTTGGTACTTTGAAAACAGTTTTTAAATACTGTACTTAGGAGAGCAAAGGCAGACATGGTAAAGGCCAGATTTGCTGTTATGTCAAATCCATAGAAGAATAAATCATTAGCATGGTGCAGGTGCAGTATGTTACATTTGATTTAAATTAAATGGCAGTATACTGAAGTTTTTATCCTTAAGGGACACCTTTATCAACAAATAAGCTTTGATTTTAACTTCAATTATTGTAGATATATGTGTTCTGAGTCTCTCTCAGAGTGAAATTATAAAAAATGTCACCGTTATTGTTTGATTACTGGTGCACAGATTAGAAGGACATCTGCTGTTTTATTTTAAGCAACATGTCTCATATTTGGTCATGTTTGTTAGGATATCCAACATTTATTTATTTCAAACTGAGCTCTGTAAGTTTCTCAGAGATGGTGGAGAACCAGTCAAGTAAAGTTCAGCCACGATAAGCAGCTCAGGGAGGAACACGTCCACCATAAAGCCCTAATCGCCTCCAGAGATTCATTAATTGAAGGGGTTAATAGCAAAAGCAGTTATGTGAGCATTCCCAGTAGAGAATTCATCCAGACCATCTATGATTAAGCTCTAAAGAAGAGTTAAGGAGACATGTAAAGCAGTTTTTTACATAAATCAATACACCTCCACATTTCCAGTTACACATAAACCAGTTTTTATCTTCGTCTGGAGCAGTAAGCCGATTTCAATGAGATTAAAACATCTGGGGCTTTTTCACTTCAACACGTATAAATACATCATATAAATACATTGTATATGTGTTTAAAAAATAATGTACAACTGCCTGGAGTCTCTCAGTAGCAGTATTTTTTTTTCCTTCAGCATCATCAACATCCCGACCAGTGAGTGCAGGGTGAAGTCGTGTGAAGTTTACAGAAGAGGTGGCAAGTAACTGCCTACAGTGTGAAGTGAAATAACATTTCTGCCAAGATTTTCTCGGGTCAAACTAAAACACATAGCAAGCAACTCACAGTAAATACATTTTCACTGTGATTGTGTCATGTTTTCCACTATGCAATAAAAAAACACTTATGTAGAGGCTGGGCTGTTACACTACTGTCAGTTTGTTGGGAAAAGGGATATTTTTACAGAGCAGTAAAACATGGAATGGTGGAATTATATTCATGTTATTGTGCAGGGAGTACATATGTATAGAAAGTAATATGGGTTAATTTCAGATGAATAAAGAGTCAGTTCTTCACAAACATGCGTACATTCCCAGCTAGCGGGGAACGTTCTCACAACTTTGGCCAACGTTACCTATTGGTTCTATTAAGGTTTTAAAGAAACATTTTAATCTGATGTTCAAAGAATCTTTTTACGATGTTTATTTTTTCAAATAATGTTCCTATAAGGTTTAAGGTTAACTAAGACATAACGTTTAACTGCAACATTCAGAGGATGTTTTGAGGATGTTATTGAGGCCTGAGATGACAGAAAGTTTTTTTATAAAATGTTCCTTTAATGTGATATGTTAACAAAGTTGGAACGTTTTGCCTGCAACATTCTAAGGATGTGTTTTGGACGTTGTTGGGTAACACATTAAAGATGTTCTTTATAAAACGTTCCCTCAATGTTACATGATAACAAATGAAGATCATTTTCAAAGCAACATTCTGAAAATGTTTTCAGGATGTTATTGAGGCCTGAGATGAGAGAAAGGGTTTTATAAAATGTTCCTTCAATGTGATATGTTAACAAAGTTGGAACGTTTTGCCTGCAACATTCTAAGGATGTGTTTTGGACGTTGTTGGGTAACACATTAAAGATGTTCTTTTATAAAACAGTCCCTCAATGTTACATGATAACCAAAGAAGAACATTTTGAAAGCAACATTTTGAAAATGTTTTCAGGAGGTTATCATTTTTTTATAAAATGTTCCTGTGATGCGAAATATTAACAGGGTCATGGTCAACGTCAGATTTATTTGTAGTGCGCTTTAAAAAACAAACTTGCTGCATTTGTTTGAAAGGGATGTTTAAAAGAAAACTGATGTCACCACATTTTCGTTTTTAGAAAAAAACAATCACGTAATTCATGATATTGCATGTTTGCGTAGGCATGTCTGAGTTCAGAGCGAGACATTGTTGGTTCTAAAAACATTCTGAGAATGTTACCATCCATTGTTCTAGGAATGGTTTCATCGAGAAGTTTTATTTTGGTTCCTAGAATGTACTTCTGAAAGGTAGGATGACGTTCTCTAAAAACATTCTTAAAATGTTTGGTCATAACATTGTTCGAACATTATACCCCAAGTGTTTTTGTTGTTTATGCACATATCTCTATTGTCATATGGATCGAATAACACTTAGAAAACCAAAGACAGACATATAGAAGAATGGACCGACTATCACTGCCCGTCCCTCAAACCCCTGTTAGTGGCCACGGGCAAAGCACTGGGGATAATGGTGGTACAGGAGAGAGCCAGGTGGCTTAACCTGATGAACCTTCCAGACCGGGAAAAAGAGGACATCTTGGACATGCCTATTGTTCCCGAGGGCATATTTGGCCCCGCTCTGGCTTCAATGCAACAGCGGTGTGAAACCAAAAAGAAGGAGCATGAGGCTCTCTGGCTTTGTCTTCCCTGAAGGGTCGAGCCGCCTTCAACGGCCCCGTGACAGTCCTTCGCTCAGGCTGCCTCACGTCCTGCCCGTTTCAAGATTCCGAAACAGCAGAGGCCACAGCCCGCCCCGGTTCTCCAGCCCAGACTCGAGGCGAGGACGAGCTGGCCAAGAAAGTCTCCGGCAGCAGCCGCTCAGGCACAGCACAGGAAATATCTGAGGTTCGCCTTTCAGGGTGTCTGTTACGAGTACAGAGTACTTCCCTTCGGTCTGTCTCTCAGCCCACGA